TAGTCCAGGGTATACGTTTGCGGGGCTTTCGCCATACGTGGAAGGAAAACGTGGTTTCTGAACTGTGCAAGTTCGCCGCCTCTTGCAGTGTGCAAGAAAGAGAACACGCACTGCGAGCGGTACCATTTCGAGGACGAGTGCGAGGTCGTGGACGGAGGATGCCTGAAGTACGGTCTGGATGGTGCCACATGCAAAGAGTACGAAAGATTGAACGTGTGTGAGAAGGTGAGGAAGGGCTGTGAGAAGTATGGCGAGGAGGATGTGTGCAAAGACGTCGAGACGTGCTTGAAGGGAAAGTGCAGCTGCATCAAGAAGGATTGCTATGAGCAAGAGACTGCCCTCTACGTATTAACAAAATCACTTTACATAGGGGGGTAAGAATTTTGCTCAGGATTTGGCTGGTGGGTGGCCACACTGGTCACAGTGAAAGACGCGCTGCATCGGTGATGCGCTGGTGAGGTGGTGCGCCGTTGAATTCAATGCCACTCCTTCTTATCGTGTGAGGCGAGGTTGGTGGGGTATCAGCGGAATCCATGGTGTTCGTGGAATACAAGCAGTCCGTAAAATCAACCGAATATGTGAGATGTTGTATTGGAGGCTGCAGGTTGCAATGTTCGTTGTATTGGAATTGTGTGGTTCTTGGGACGTTTCTGGTAGTTCAGGACGCCCCTGCGCTTCGTGCGGCCGTGTTCCTGGAGGGTATGTTACACACATCGCTGTATTGCAGCCTTTTGGATAGTAAGATGTAATTTCAATTGCGCAATGTACAACACAACTTTGACGGGTTTGTAATCAATGGTTGGTTTTGCGCTCCCTCTTCGTTTCTACAACATCCAGCTCAGCTCTCAGCACAGCATTTGAGCCTGCCTGGCGGAAGATTGAATGTCTGCAGGTACTTTTTTGGTGCTGGCGAGCATACAATTAGTGCTTCATCATTGCTCAATTTACATTATTACAAGGGAAACACGCCCTCTTTACCACTTTCAAAAATTTCCAGCAGTTATTGGAAGAAGACGGGTGGCACATGCAAAGCGCCCTTGATCGTTGGCTCGGGTAACAAGGGCGGTTGTAACTTAGCTTCTATGCATTAGCCAAAAAAGGACCAAATACCACTTGTCGTGAACACATATATATTCATTTTGTCAATGTTCTGCACGATAAAAACACGGAGATACCCCAAGCCCTCAATCCCTTAGACAGAGTCAGGATACGGCTGGGAAGAAAGTTCAGGTCAGACTTAAGAAAGGCCAGACCAGTGCTCCGGTCCGAAGCGGACAACGCCTGGTCTCCAATACAAGAGCAGCCACGACGTCCGGCGCACCCGGTGTATCGAATCCTTAGGCATGCCCTGCTGACAACCATGGGCTCTCGCCCATTCAACCAGTGGATATCGGCTTCATCGAAGATGGCTCCTTACTGCTTACCGCCGCCCCATCCACAACCCAATGACCCATTTCCTCGCTGCCGTCCTGGCTTGCGGTGCCTGGCGCGCTTCCAACCGTGGAGGGTGCTCAGCCTTTGGCTTGCTGACGCTAGCAGCAAAAGGACCTAATAACACTCTTGCCGGACACACATGTGTGCATTTCATCAGTATTCTGCGTGCTGAAACCACGAAAATAACGCAAACCCGTAAACTTTGTACACGCTCGAACGCGAGTTATTTGGCCCTTTTTTCCTAGATTGAAAGGCGTCAGCGCCGTCGCCACGCTTCGGACGGATCGGTTGATCCTGGCCGCTCCTGTTTGCAGGCCCGCCCCGTGTGATCCACCGTGGCAGTCGGCGCATATTCATCCTCCTGCCGCGATTCTACGAGGATCGATGGCCTGCTGCGGCTGCCGCCCGATGGCGCCAACAGGCCTAGGAACAAATATCCCGGACAGTTCCGATGCGCCGGGACATGCGGTCCCCGGCGCTCGGAACGTCGTTCGGGGGGCCGGCGCGGCCCGTGGGTTGTGGGCCATGTCGTCCGGCGTGATCCGAGGGCGCTGTGGCCGCGTTGCCAGTCCGTGAAGACGCGGAAGGGGGAAAGGGGAACAGGAAAGGGGGCCATGGCGCGCGCCGCCGTCGCAGCCGTCCTTCTGTTCGCACTGGCTGTGAGTGTGCAGGCCACGCGGGCATGCCCCCATCCGGGTGCAATGCCGTAAGGGAATACTCATCCGCTTCTTTCCCGTCCAAATGGCTGAAGATATTTTAATGCCATTCAATATCTCGTACACAGGGTTAAACCCAACAAAATATCTGTCATTTTCTCATTGTATCAGTGACCTCCAAATAACCGTTGGTCTCCTGATCTGTTCTTGCCTTCTTAAATTACAACCCAGGCCATCACAGGAAAAGAGTCAAATGATCAATGCTTTCCAATCACATCCATGCAAAATTCCTACAATGTTCCATAGCTGCTGGCTCAGTTCATCAGAGTTTGCAGTGCAATATTCAAGACCTTGGCTGATGGTAATTAGCCCCAAAGGACCACCTCCTCAAAACATGTAATATCCATGGCACATCATCCTAAAACTAGCAGTTTCTTTTGTCCTCATTTCATGAAAATATTTCTACTCACCTACCATCCCAGTCGACGACATTTTTAATTACAAAAATCCTCCAAACTTGTCCCCTTGCGGACACTATGCAGCCAACGAACGTCACATCCATTGGCAGAGCTATGTTCACAAAAACACTTCAAAAAAGTACACCATACTTTACTGCATTCCCCAGCGCACTCGCTCAGCACCTGCCTCACTGTACTCTATTCTTCCTTTTGCCCATACAAAAGGCATAGTGTACTATACAGAACTGAATGGACTTGGGACTCGCGGTGCACTACTGCGGCTGCACCAAAACATAAAAGTAATGGATTTGGCAGATTTAAGCAATGCTCATTCTTTTCAGGGCATGGGGGTTGTCTGACGAAGCCTTGTGGCATTGCTGCCACATTTCCTCACGACCTTAACACATGATTGTCGGCGATTTCACAAAGCCTGCTTAACGATTTAGTTTGGCCAGGCCACCAAGACACCCATGTCGAACAGATTTCCAGGGGTCTTCTGTTTGCGTGCACTCCCAACGTGATGTCCTGCACATTAGACTCCAATGATTAGAGACCAACACTCCCAGCCCATATCCTTCCTGTCCACCAGGACCATCGGCTTTTTGTCTTTCCTTTTAATCTCGTGTTTCTCTGATTTCACACAGGCATGCATGTCTGATATGCATGTTGATTCACACCAAGCCAGCTGCATCCCTTTCTGGTGGTGCCCTGACCTCACGATGCACACAGGGCTTCATGGCAATTACGAGAATATGTTCTTCACATGCTGTACAGGTTGATAGTGCTCCAACTCCCCTCAGAACCGCTGGCATGACTCCCTCACCCATGCAAAGATACAACATGTGTGTCAGAGCATCTTACAGCCCTCTAACTTCCATGCATGCATGTGCATTCCTGTGGGAGTGTCAGGTCATAACCATGCATGTCATGAGGATTATTAAAGTTACGTGCACACTTCCGCGCGCTCCAGACAGTGGCGACCGTTTCGTTTGCATGAACCCTGTGCCGCACCTGCATTCCAGGTCATATTTTGTCTGAATGTAACAATGCCGTCACATGAAGCCCCGTTTTTCACTGAAATCAACAGACCACATGCCCTCCCTCGCCAGTTTGGGCGGTCTGAATGGTCCTCAGGGGCCAGAGCATCACTGACCAGTCCGGCGAGCTCGACTTGCCCTCACAGCCTGCAACCTTACCACTAGCAACAAAAGCACCAAAGAACACTCTTTGCGAACGCGTATGAAGTGCATTTCATCAATGTTATGCAGTATAAGAACAAAAATAACCCAATACAAATACCAATACCATAAAATAAAAAAAACACAAAAAAATAACAAGTTAATAATACAAAAATAACGGCAAATTTTGTAGACTTTTGAACACGTGTTATTTGCCCTTATTTTCTAGTGTACGGTGCAGGACCTCCCAGAGTCGTCTTTGATCTGATCAGTCTGGGGAGCTGATCAGTAAAATGAACTTGCTGAGAACGCAGAACGGCTTCCTCCAGTGAGCCCCTGCCTCCCCCAGCTTCCCGGTGAAACTCACTCCCAGGGCATTCTAGTCCTAGCATTTTTTAGGAGGGTTTATCGCCTTTTGTCTCCTTTCTCTTTTCTGTCTTCGCCATCAGCAATGGTAGCTCACTCGGGCCATCCCTCGCAGTGTGTATCGCACATACGGTCGACGCCCGTCGTGAGTCAATTAAACAAGATAGGCACCCAGTGAAACGGTGCTCATTGCACTAGTGGAAAAAGGACCAAATAACACTTTGAGAACACATGTGCATGCATTTCGTCAGTGTTCTGCACACTAAAAACACGAAAATAACCCAAACCCGTAAGCTTTATACACGTTTCAACACGTGTTATTTGGCACTTTTTCTCCTAGTGTTATGAGGCTTCATCGAACAGATCATGATTTTCAGGACCGTCTACTTGGCCGATGTTTTGCTTGTAGAACCTGTTCCACCGTCGTGCTCCTGCTCCAAGAACCCCAACCCTGTGTGTGGTATCCCTCCCAAGGCGGTACACAGGCTCGCTCCCTTCCCCCGTGCTCCCTGCTAGGGGCACCTGGCCTACTGCTGAATGCCGACGCCAGGCTTGCCACCAACCCACAATCACTTTCGCATCGTCTCCCTTTAGTAATATCCATCAATGCGGCCTCGTGTGGTGTCCGAAACCACCCACAGGGGCGTGGCCCCAGGGGCGTGGAATCGAATAAACCGAACATGGGTGACCCGTGTCGCAGGGTCGGACTACAAAAGGCACCTGCGTGCTGTCCAGCATCCGCGCAAATCCGCATCTTCGAGGCCACGCAAAGGCAGTTGCAGCCTACGTGCCGATGTCACTCTCAAGCGCCGGGGTATCTCGCGAGCGTGCGGTCCGGTTGCATCCCAACTGGCAGCCGCTAGACTCTGGCACCCAGGTCCTCCCAAACAACCAGAACCCACGGCACAATGGCGGGGCGGGGCAGCAGAGACGGCCCCATCGACTTTCAGGGTGCCTTAGATCGGCAGCTCAAGCAGCAGGGCGACATTACGTTGAAGGCCTTCGAGGACAAGTACACGCCAACCGGCTGCGGGGACCCCTACCTCGACCGTGTCTCCTTCGACGTGCGCCGCGCCAAGTTCTGGGACCTCTTGCAGGTGGACATCGACGAGTACAACCGCGAGAGGCCGAAACGCAGTCGGGGCCAGGCTGGCGAAAGGATGCCCGCGTACAGGATGGTAGACTCGAGACTGTCGGAGGAGGGGCTCCGACACATGCAGAGGGACGGCTTCGCGGTGGGTCAGCCCCGCTTCGGCAGTTTTGGAGATGCGTTCCATCAGATCTACAGCGACGACCTGCCGGTGTGAGTGGGCGCGGACGCGCTGCTGCACGCCTGGCACAGGACGTACGACGAGATGCTGATCGACGCGGAGACGCACTGCCTGGCGCCTCGGCTGAGGGGCGTGCTGCAGGGCATGCGGGGCGCGGTGCCCAAGGCCGCTGCAGACCTGGAGTCCACGACCCTGGAGCAGGGCCTCCAGGACGCCGACTGGTTTCTGACGGTGGCGATCTCTCTGCTCAATGGGAAGGATCCCAAGGGTGGGCCTGCCCGGATGGCCGCGGTTGACTTCAGCCAGGACTTTGGGCGAGAGGCCAGCGCCCTTGGAAACGACGCCAGGGTGGGGGCGACACTGGCAATGGTCGAGGGGGAGCAGCTGGCGAATTGCGAGATGTTCGGCACCCAGCTGCTCTTCGACTTCTCCCAGTTCAAGCCGAGGGGTCACTACGAGAAGAGCCCCGCCCTCAGGAGGTACTTTCGTGCCTTTATGTGGTGCGGGCGGACTGTCATGCCGATGGGTGGCGGCGAGGACGGACGAGATACACGGGGCCTGGGCTGCGCCTTGGCGCTGCTGCACCTGTTGCAGGAGTCTGGGCATTTTGAGGGGTGGGAGGTGCTGGAGGACACGCTTGCGGCATTCGTGGGCGAGGCGGACTCCATGACATTCCGCCAATTAGATGCGGTTGTTCGCCAGTACTGCTCTCAGGTGAGGACGCAGGTTGGACTGTGCTTTGGATTATCGAAGTAACACGCCAGGGGGGTCAAATGGCTTGCCTGATTGCGCCCTACTGTGAAGTCAAGATTGTAAGTTCGACTTGACGTTAATGTGGAATCAGGCAGACAATCATGGTAAGTAGTGGCTAATGAAGATAGCTGGCAATTTCTAGTGCGGATGCCGCACACCCACTAATGACTGCATGAGAAGCCTATATTCTGCTGCACACCTTTGCGTGCCGAACATTGTGGGATCGGGTGCAGAGCATGTTGATGATGCGTAGTGGTGTGTGTTTCAGGCGGGTGTGCAAACCCTGAAGGAATTGCGAGAGGTGCACTCCCTTTCGGAACTCCTGGTGCTCATCAAAAATGCAGGCCTTGGAAAGGAGGCCATCTGTAGCTCAGTGGTGGAAGACAGTTCCCGGAACCCTCCGGCGTTCACTTTCTCTGGACAGAAGTTCATCATGGACAGCTGGGCGATGTCCAACAGCGTGTATGACAGGATCGCGTACAATGGCAAGAAAGTCCCACACATCCACCCCAGTTGCCTGGATGTGTGCTTCTCAGTCCTTGGCAATGATTCTGTGGTGCCACAGATCGTGAACAGGGTAAAGGAAAGCAAACTGCCATTCCACTCCAGCCTAGCCGCCATCAGAGCTGTCTTTGATGCGCTTGAGGAAAAGACTTGGAGGAAGAGCCTGTACGCCCTGTGGCTTAGGCTGCTCAGGACTCTGTCAACGCCCACCACAGACGATCAGTTTCCAGAGGCCATGAGGACGAGGGCATGGGCTGCCAAGACCGCGGAGACGCAGGCAGCGAGCTGGGCCCAGTTGAGGCACGATACCATCCTGTATGCAAAGCAGTCTTATGGCTGTTGTGGTGGTTGCGAGTATCCGGCCGGCTATGTGGAGCCCCGTCCGGACTTCTGGGCTGCCTTCCTGGACATGATCGGGAGAGTGAAGGAGATCCTGCTCAATGGGGCTGTGGGAGATGGTCCAGAAGCTGATTTGATAGAAAAGGCGAAAAGGGATCTGAGCTGCGGCAAGCGCAACATCTCACAGGTCCTGTCACTGAGACACGAGACACGGTACTGTCCCAGACCAGCACGGGAAGAAAACTCGACACTCGAGATTCTGAGAAAGCAAATTACTGTGATGGAACGCTGGGAAGATGCCCTCTTGACGATCCATGCAATTGCCAAAAAGGAATTGCGCCATCACCCGATGAACAAAGCGGAAACCGAGTTTCTGAAGAAGGTTGTGAGGAAGGATTTTGGAGGGAGTGGGCCTCCCAGGTACAATGGTTGGTACTGCGGATTGTTCTACAAGTCCGCTGAAGACTCTTGCGAACGGGACGTCATTGTTGCGGACGTTCACACCCAGCCCCCCGGCGATATGGACCCGGAAGGATTCGTGCTCCACCAGGGGGTCAGCCTGCCGGCCCTGATGACCATTGCCGTGAACACTGGCCCTGACTTGGCAGTATATGTGGGGCCTGTCTTCAGCCATCACGAATTTGAGTTGAAAGGGGTGCATCGCCTGAGCGACTCCGAATGGAATCAGCGAGTAAGGAGCGGCGATCTGCCCGCAGCAGCAGACTGGAAGACATTCATTGCGGCAAGCTGAGCTTGGTGCTTTGTGGGAACACATGTGACGCCCTCCATTAGGATTTACCGAATTTGGAGACGGTGGGGAATGAGAGCGGCGGTATAGTTAATCGGCTGTGTATTTCCACATTTCCAGGCTTCGAAACCCTCCTGCTGCTGAGACAAGGATCTGTTGTTTTGCAGTTTCAGCGCAGTGTGACAGGCCCCAGATCTGACTCCTGTACGCGCACAAGTACGATCACTGCTGTTGAAGTGATGAACACCTTTTGCACTGACACCCTTAGCATGCTGTAATCGCAGTGATTTGGCGTTGCGTTTGGTGTTATGCTCTGTAGCATCAGGCTTGTCATTGACGTTTACGTTTACGATTTTGCGTTTATATTTTTGCTCGTACGAACGTATATTTACAAACGGGGGTATTTTGACGGATGCATTTACGTTTTCATTTCTCCTACATCATCTCCAAAATGGGCTTTATGTCTTCGTTCTTCTATTGGCACATTTTGTCGAGCTGTCGCCATTGGGATGCAACTGGGTTGGCGAAATTTGGGATGCATATGCCGAGCATGTCTTAACGCTGGCTGACTTCTTGTCCTACATTGGCTTAATCATTACAGCCTTCGTTGTTTGGCAAGGCCACGACCCACATGAACAAGAACACAGGCTGTTTGTCATTGGCTGTTTCAGCATTTTGGTGCTCGTGACTCGCAGATGCACATGGCCATTTGCGCCTTGTGTGGGTTGATACGTCTCAGCGCAGAACCAGGGACACGTGCCGTTGACGCAACACCTGAGGGATGGAGGCAGAACGCGTTTGCGCAACTGCTTCCGGGATTGCTGTTCTCGGGCGCATCGATTGTGAAGTGGCTGCCCTGGGGAGAGGTTTAGTTGATGGCGAAAATGAAAAAACTCAAGGATAGCCGCACGAGCACCTCGCAGAGGTGGACTTCAGTGCCGCCGCACTGGAGGATTTGCCACAGATGATAATACAGATTGCGTTCGTAGTGGTCACGGAGGACAATGAAACCTGGGACATTATTGGCATGATGGCTTCCTTGGCATTGTATGTAGGCGACTTGGTGTTCAAAGTGATTTGGCCCATGCCAGTGAGAAGTATTTGGAAATCTGTTGTCTAGTTCTGAAATTTTTCAGGCCTGAATGCTTTCACTTTCGCTTGCATGTGTACGGACAACCGAAAAGCCTTGAACACCGCTATGGTTTCGAGCGCTTTGTGAAGGAAATAAAAAACTGATATAGCCGGTATGCATGCTGTACCTCTGAAGCTCAATTTGCAATACACTGTTGCCACAAAAGATGTGCTAATCAAAGTTACCATGGGCAAGGTGGGATTTCCTAATACCGGCACATTTCGCGTATCACAGTTGGGGGCCGCCAATTTGTGGTTGTGTGGCCATCGTGTTTCCCATGAAGAAAACCCCTGCAGGCAAATTTGCTTCAACCACAGCACTTAACGATACAAACAGTACCCTGTGTGCTTGCTCAGAGTTGTACCCGTACCATGGCTTGAAAATGATCACCGTTAATGGGCTGTTGAGAAACAATCCCAAAATGAAGCCGTCGATCAGCAACAGAAGAGGCATAAACTCCAGCTCGGTATCCAGCTGGGGCGCGCCGCCTGGCTGCTCTGCAGTCACTTCGATACATATCGTATACGCTGTTGCCTTGGGTTCAATGGCTCTCCCCAATTGCCAGCAGGATCTCGAAGCCAAAGGTAGCGGTGCAGGGTCAGATTTCGAAGGGCACGTTAGGCGTAAAAACAGTGAATCAGTGCGAGAGGGTGAGCAAGGCATCCGCGAGGTATGCCCAGGAGGAGATGCGACGGGGCGTAGAGGCCTGCTGGAAAGGCAATTGCGAGCAATTGCTATGATACAAACCACGGGGATCAACTGAGGACTTGCCCGCACCCCGCCCATCCCAACGCAATGGAGATGCGGAGCTTTCCGTATGCAACCACGCGAGGCGGAGCTAATGTGAGATCGCTGAGGTTTCTTTTGTGGGGCGAGATGGCCTGGTGAGTCATACTCCAGATTGGGTGCTTGTCTTGGAGGCTGATGGATGCGGTGTATGACGTTTTCAAAAAACTAAATCTGCATACGTTACAACTATTCAGGGGTCCCTATACAAGTTTCTCAGCTAATTCGGCGGAGGGAGCGTGCTACACGGCAGCTGCATTCCAGCGTTTTGGGAACCAATTTGTGATTTTTCTTGCGCGGTGTCGTGGGTGTATAAGCAATTGGTTGTTTTGCATTCTCTCCTCTTTCGCAGCAGTGCCCAGCTGACTCTTGGAAATTTCCATGCCACCTATGTGCAATTTCAAGCGCTTGCAGCAAATATTTGTTGCCTGTGAGCTTAGAATAACGTTTTATACTTATTAGCTTTGGAAGGCTGCTGGGCGGGAAACACGCTCTCTATCCATTCTAGGAATCTTCGGCAGCAATTCTGTTGATAAACAGGCTGGACATTCAATCCTTCCCATGGGAGTTGGTTCTAATGACAAAGGCCGTTGAAATTCAATTATCATGGCTGCTCACTCGTAGTTAGAATGCAAAACTTAGTCGATTGAAGGGTGAAATGCTCCACGCCAGTTTGTTCTTTCACCAGTTTATTTATATCACCCGGCTTATTCCACAATCAGGTCGCGGTGTTTTGTGTGCCTCCCATGTGTCCATCCTCATTCCCGATCCTGTGACCCCAATTGGAAATCAAAGAACTCAAATCAGCACCCCACAACGGCTGCTTAACAGAATGGATTAAAAAATCAACCACTTCATGCAGTACACTTTGGTGTTTTGTTATGCCATCTTTTTCATGTCATCAAATCGCTTGCTCAAATTCTCACATCCTACCATTATCTGCGCTCTTGCAATTGTTACACGCCTACCACGGTATGTTGCGTCATGTCCCGCGCTGAGATGCTGCTTGGTCCGTGCTCCGAACCATTTTACATGCCCGCCACGGTCTGTTACGTCAACTCCAGCCCTGTAGCGCTGCTGTGCGCAATTGCTACTTACACGCTCGGGCTAGCCGACTGAAAAAATATGGACGCCAAGTGGCGGAAGCATCGTGTGCCACTTGAAACGGCCGCCATTAGTGATGGACACGCGCGGCACAGCAGCGATGGCAAGACCGGTGTTCCATGGATAGTAAGGCGAACTCGTATACATGGCTTGAAGTCAGCATGCGAGTGCTGAAGAACCGAATGTAGTGCAGAATACACACAGCGGTCTGCATGAAGAGATGACTTGTTTCCGTTTAAAAGCAAAGCCGGGAATTGAGAGACAACGACTTTGGAGGGATTGAGCCCATGGGCCAATTCCCTTGCGGATCTGGTGGCGGTCATGAAAATGGCCATTGCTAGGGCTCAGTCTCCAAATCGGTGCATGCTGGACTCAACGCTCTTGGCATGTGGCGCAAGGAAGGGCAGCGGAAGCAGCGGCCGATACAAGGGAAAGCACGGGGCGGTGGGAAGTTCATAGTGGGAGCGGCCTTCCCAGATCCACTCTGCAGCGGCCTCCATATCGTGAAACAGTGCCCGTTGGTGCAAAATAGCAGGGGTTGCCTTCACTCTGTGCATGTTTGACGGTGCTTGCAAGCCCAAGCTTTGCCTGGTCAGGATTTGGCCAAACGAGGGATGTGAAGGCCGCAAGCCACACGTTTATTAGGAGATGTATCACTCAGCTGCAACGGCTGCCTCGCAAGTGACCATGGACAAAGCGTGCGGTAGGCCCTGTGCGCCCCTCCCTGTGGCCCATCAATCTCTTTTCAGTTCCTTTTAACCGTTTGCCCTTGAATCTCAGGGACCATTAACCAGTAAACTCCTTCACAGCACTGTGATTTTCGAGCCTGGAGAGCATCAACACGTGTTAGAACACTGGTGAGACAGCGAACGCCGGGCAGCATGTACCACCCAGCATCCAATTACTTGTTGGACTTTCGCAGGAGATACAAGGCAATAAAGGAAGCAATGCGAAGTACATCTTCTACCCAATGTGGCCATCTCCGCGCCCCGCTTAGCCATCGCCGATGCTATTGGCTTCGCACCGGCTGCGAACAATGCAGGGTTCGAAGTTGGACCCTTGTGCCAGCCTTGGGCTGCCTGCTGCAAAGTGTCTGTTCACGGCCCACTGCTTCCTGCTGCTCGCTTTTCAGCCACGCGGCGCCTTCCTAAAAGACAGCAGGAAAATTTCCGGGCCAGGGCAAGGGGACTGGTGAGGGCAATTCCAGCTCAAGCCCTGCCAACCAGCCGCCTGAGCCGTTGAGGCCCGGGTGGGAGCCGCCGAGGGGAGAGCATCCTCGGGATCGAGTTCAAAGGGGGTAGCCCCAGAGCAAAGTTAGGTCATGAAGTCATTAAAGTCGTTTCGGGTTTAGGGTGCTTGGATTTTGGGGGTTTGTGTCCCTAGTACTTTCCATGACCTTCATGTCCGGTAACGACAGGTACAGGTATCTGACAATCCTCCCGCCAGCAGGTCGACCACATGCGACTCCATCGTGGACACAATGAATGCCGCGGGAAAGGAGGAGGTGGGGCAGGCATGAGGCGTGGAGTTCTATGACTGCAACATACGCTGGAACTTTTCCGTGTGAACACGCTGTGTGGGTGGTGCTAGGGGGGGGCGGGGACGGTCAAATATCTGCAACTTCACGTAACATGGGAGCGTCGACGCGACGTATCCACGGGTTTTTGTAAGTGATCTTACGTGCCTTCTTTTACAGAAATGCATAACTACACTCAATTACGTCAAATTGACGCAATTATGTTGAAAGAAACTGTTGTGTTATAAACTTAAGTAGCGATCTGCCAGCCATAGCTCCCTATCTTCAACTGTTCTGCGGCTTGGCATCCTCCATCTCGTGCAACGGGCACCACATTCTTTCAAGAAGAATGGTGCAAAAAACCACGAAGACAACGAAATACTGAGACTTGCGCCACTTCAACCCTCAAAATCTGTTTTCCTCCGATCCTTCAACAGCGGCAATTTGCCACATATTGTACTATTA